GTACATCCGCGTGGGACAGAGTCTCAGCGAGAGATTCCGCGACAATCGCATGTTGAAGTGCGTTTTCTGCGGCCACGAGTTCCAGGGCAACCAGTTCGTGGCGGCGCGCCATTTCCGTCAGGGCAAGGGATGTCCGAAAGTGACAGACGAGGCACTTGTCGACATCCACTATAACAGTGAGTACAAGGTGTCCGACAAGTTCCTAGAGCGGATACAGCGATTTGAGGAGCTTCACGGTGCGGCACCTGCGATGGATCCGCGACAGGACGAGGGGGGGGAGGGAGAGATGAGGGACGCGGGGGAGCAGATCGACGTAGACGACGACGTCGAGGAGGTTGCACGGGCGGGGTCGTCAGGGAAGGAGCGAGGGAAGGGCATTGTCAGCGAGCCGGGGGGGCAGCAGGGCCACTACTTTGCGTCGGCGCACGTGTCGGCTAGTACATGGGCAGGTGCGGATACGGCTGAGGCGGGTGCGTCTGCGGGGAAGAGGAAGGAGAGAGAGGAGGGGGACAGACCGACGGCAGCAGCCGCAACACAGAAGAGGATGAGATAGAACACGATCACGGAGTCATTCACTTCAAAGTGGCAGATGGAGTTCAAGAAGAAGTGGCTGCGGTTTGTGTACAGTAAGCACCTGGCGTTCAACGTCTTCCGGAGCGAGCCATGGTTGGACGTCGTCCGACACTTCAGGGACTTGCCGGGGCCAGTGAAGGTGTTGTGGCCTTCAAAGAATGAGATCGCGGACATAGAGACCATTGTCCACACAGCGGACGATGTGGGAGCTGATCTCACGGAGGTCTGGGCTCCTTTCTATGTCACGGGGGCCACCATTATGTCAAACGGAAGGAAGTCACGCTATGCTAGACCCATCGTTAACTTCCTTGCCGACGGGTCGCGTGGGGTGATGCTCGTCCGGACGATGAACAGGGAGGGTGAGCGGGATCGAGCGCCTGATGTGTTGGCGCGCTGGATCTAGGTGTTCGATGACTTCTCCCCTAAGTGGGTGAACGCCATCTGCACCGACTCCGCCTCGGCGAACATGCTCCAGGGGCCCCAACAGAGGCCGAAGCATCGACGGATCACGTGGCTCCCATGCGCAGTGCATGTCTGCAACAAGATGTTGTCAGACATTGGCTGTTCGGGCCCGTGGTCCAAGGACATCATCGTGAGGGGGAGAGCAGTGGTGCGCTTCATTAAGGAGCACGACACCGCTCTCCATATCTTCCGGGGGGAGAGCAGTCAGATGGGCCTCATCTATCCTTGCGAGACAAGTTTCGCATCCGTGTTCGCGATGGCTGGTAGTGAGGTCAGCTTTGGAGAGGACGGTGGATGGCGATACTTGGGGTATGGTCCCTTGGGACCATTCCGTTCGTCAGTTGTCTAGGTGGGTCAGGCGGCAGGTGCGACATGGCAGTTGGTGGGATTCCATGGGCATCTTGTTCCGTATCATGGAGCCTGTGTACGACCTGCTGCGCAGGTTGGACCGCGGAGGGCTGCACATGTCGCGGGTGGTTGAGTGGACGCAGGATCTGGCCCACCAGATAGCAGAGGAGGTTTGTGCACTTCCGACAGATCTTGCATAATACATTGTGCAGAGGGTGCAGGCTCGATGCGCTCACATGCTGGAGCCGGCGCACGCCGCTGCTCACCTTCTTTGTCCCAGCCGGCGGGACTTGCGGTACTTCGAGGGCGTGGTCAGCGACTACGACGCAAGCTTGGTGAGGGAGGCGGAGACTTACATCTTGTCGCAGACAGGGTTCAGTGTGGCGAGCCGCGACTACGAGACCGCATGTGCACAGTTGTGCGACTTCCACACACGGAGGGGAGCGATTGCTTGGGGGGGGAGAGATGGAGATAGAGATGCACAAAGGTGCAGAGGCGATGCGGAGATGTATGAGTCCGGGTGTTGGTGGTCGAGGTACGGGCAGTGCGCCCCGCAGTTGCAGGTTATCGCTCTTCGTGTGATGTACATGTGGATGTGCTCCTCTTTTGCGGAGAGAGGAATTGGGCCGTCCACGAGGGTGTACAGACGAAGAAGCGTAACCGGCTTGAGTTCGAGAAGGTCGCGAAGTTGGTTGAGATCTCAGCCAACATCCGCCTTCTCTCTCATCAGCGGGCAGGCCGCGGGTTCGCACTGCCGTGGACTCTAGATGAGTCGTTGTTAGACGTGGAGGGAGGTATCGGGATTCGCCCCTCGTGGAAGGGGACGGACGAGAGCAGGACGCGGGAGGAGGTCGAGGATCAGAGACGTTCATGGCAGCGAGACCCATGTGGGTCCAGAGCTCCTCCGGGTGATGTGGGCGATGTTTTTGGGACTCGAGCCGCCACATTGCACCCATACCCTCGAGACGACAGTGATTCCGAGGGTCACGAGGACGAGGACGAGCCGGCGGGCCCCGCTAGCGCCACTCCTGCGGCGGATGAGCGTGATGAGTGGAGCGACCCAGAGGACGTCCGTAGACGGAGTGGTGGAGATGACCTTTTCGTTCGAGTTGATTTGGAGGAGTAGTCTGGGGGTCGTCATGGGAGCCCTTTGGAGCGTCCGAGGCCTACGTCCTGTCCCCCACTTCCCGCTGAGCGGGAGACAGATCCTGTGCCTGGACCTTCGAGGGGGGCAGAGTCGGGGATTGACCATCGTCCTCTGGGTTGCTCTGGCACGACATCATCCTCCGCTCTTCCCACTTCGACGGAGAAGCTTCATCGACAGCCAGCCGGTGCAGATCGATTGCAGAGATTGGTGAGGGGCCCGAGACAGCGATTGGAGGACAGATTGGAGGGCGGTCCTATGCCGGTGCAGGGTGACGACGGAGACAGACAGGGGTTGGTTGGTGGAGATGGAGGTGCGCTGGCCGGAGGTGGAGGCGGTGCCGAGGTTGATGCTGCGGTTGAGGGGATACCGATGGGCGGCGGTGGCGGTTGCAGTGAGTTAGGCGATATGGGTATGCCCCCGGGAGAGAGCGTGGGTCTGGCCCGAGGAGAGAGCGAGTCCCGTGGGGACATCAGTGTGGGTATGCCGGACTTACTGGGACAGATCGGCTTCGCGGACCCGAGTAGTTTCTCCCCTGCCATGCGCGCAGAGGTGATGTTGGGGGCAGAGGGGGATGAGGACCGAACACCCCCTGGAGAGACATCTGCAGAGAGGCTGGATAGGCTTGATAGTCGTCGAGCGTGCCTCATGGCACAGAGGGACCCCAGAACGCAAGAGCTCGCCTGTCTTGCGGCCGAGGACCGACAGAGGCAGCTGGGGACATATACGCCGGCGTCTGTTGACGTGGGGCCAGCTTCCCACACGGATACTTCGGCAGAGGTTCACGATACGACGCAGCGGGAGGCGGCTTCGGCAGAGGTTTCAAGTACGGGAGTAGATGTTCAGCAGGGGACGCACGAGAGCGGGTTGGCACCGACAGAGGAGCCACGTTCGGAGCCGGCGCAGCCTCCTGCCGTGCAGCTGAGGCCAGAGGAGACATTGCACGAGGTCGCGGGCGTGCCTCTGCCCGCGGGTTCAGTTGAGGGTGCCGTGCATATGTCCCCGGGTCTGGAGGACATACAGACAGGGCAGTCAGTGGGCATTGATGATATTCGCCCATCGGCACAGGCGGAGGGGATAGCGCCGACCACCGGGGGGGACGGGGCTGTAGCGGGGGCCGTTGGTGTTGGCGGGTCAGGGGTGTCGTCCGCGGCCGATCCGATGTCCGCGTCCGGCGGGGGAGACCCCGCACAGGTGGACAGACGTGACGCGGATGGATAGGAGATGCCACAAACTTTGGTGGTTCGCACTGCTGTGGGGCCAGTGGTGCCACATCAGGCACCGTTTTTGGAGGGTTATAGGCGTCCTGCACATGGCGGTAGCCCGGTCGAGGAGCGACGTGTAGGCATGGGCGCGTGCATACCCCTGGTCCCTACTTTTGCGCCGTCACGGACGAGGCCGAGGATTAGGCATGTGGCTACGCCTCAAGGCAACCTCCCTTTTGGTTTTATGACCGCTGAGGAGTTGGAGGACCGTGGTAGGAGGGATTTGACGGAGATTGACCAGCACATTTTGAGGTCAGTCCTGGAGGAAGGGAAGTTGCCTCACGTGCAGGACTTATCTTGGGGGCCAGCCAGCCCCAGCTTACCTTCTGGGTGTTCCATCGCAGCGCCATCTGGCGGGGCTGCAGGGGGCTTACCTTCTGGAGGTTCCGTCGCTGCGGCATCGGGCAGGGCCTTCTGGAGGTTCGGTCACAGCGCCATCTGGAGGCGCCGCAGGCCCTTCGTCACCCTTGAGCGCAACTCCGAGGGAGGGCGGCAGCCTCACCCCGAGGTCGGTTGCCCGTAGACAGAGAGACACTACTTAGCGTGCGCGGGAGTTGCTGGACACCATGTTGTTCGGTCGCACAGACCGACCATGGAGTGAGACGAGACGGGTGACGACGGCGAGTGCCGGTCGTCAGCCCGGTTTGAGAGGGGTTTCCACGAGCGCGAGACGTCGAGATGTTGTAGCTGCAGGGTTTGGCGGTAGAGGGGGTGGCGGCGGTGGCAGTGGTGGCGCCGGTGACGACAGACGTGAGGGCGCAGGCGGTGCCACGACGAGCGCAGTGGATCCGCCGCGGACGTACGGTTTGAGAGAGGCGTTGATTATTTTGGAGGAGCCTGATGTTGTTACACGACTGAGGCAGGCCCGACACGTGCCCTTAGATCGATGCCAGGAGGGGGAGACTTCAGGGACTGACGGTCTACCTATGGCACGTGAGTCACGCTGACGTGATGACCTAGCAGCAGCAGCCATCAGGACGGTGAGAGGCAGGAGAGTCATTATGGACGACGATCCCGACGAGCTTCCTGTCGCTCCCGAGCCTTCCGCTCACGGACGCGGCGGCCAGCGTCAGAGAGATCGAGGAGGTGGCAGGGGTCGGTCCCACGGAGGAGTTTCTCATCGGTCCGAGCGAGATCCGTGTACGCACGACGATCGTTGACGGATTACGGACTTGCATTTTCGTGACTTCCTCAGTGTACTTTAGTTTTTTGTTATCCATGACAGACGTAGTGTCTTGTGAGGTTGTATTATAGTCTACTTTCCACTGGGTACTTTTCTGCGCAGACGTAGTGTTTCGTGATGTTGTATTATAGTGTACTTTCCAGTAGGCACTTTTCTACAGTTTGCTACTTCGGACATTGTTGATTTCCAGTGTATTTTGGTGTGCTTTTTCGTCGGCATTTTTGGGTTGGTACTTCTTTCCACAGACTGGCGGGGCTTCGACGCGATGTGTCAGATTTTTGCTATTATCCATGTTATATTGGTTTGCGTTTTGCTTCGATCATTACATCTTGGCATTTGCGATGTTTCTGTTTTCAGACGACTAGTGTTTTTTTTGCTTCCAGGCCCCTCACAACCCAAATCCTCACGTAGCCCCCCCTGGTCCCCCGGCCCCACCCCTGCGCCTGAACCCCCCAAACCACTTTTTTTTTTTTTCCTTGCAACCCTTTTTTAAAAATTTCTCTTACCGCTTGTTTTGCGCTATTAAAAAAAATAAAAAGAAAAAAGATATTTTGGAAAAAAAAATTAAAAGAAAGGTCGCAGTTTGTGTGTGTATGTGTGAATGTGATTATGTGTGTGTGTATTTGTTTGTGTAAATGGGTGACTCAGTTTGGGGGGTTGTGCGTGTTGGCGAAAAAAAAAGTGCCCGTGTGTGTGCGACGGTGTGAATTTGTGTGTGCATGTGCGTGTATGTGTGTGTGTGTAAATGGGTGGCATGGTTTGGGGGGTTGTAATTGTGGGCGGGGAAAAGAAAAAAAAAACCGTCCCCGCGGGGGAGGGGCGGTGGCGGGAGTGGGTGGCCCTCCGTTGGGTGGGGGTAGGGGAGTCGCGGCTTGGTAGGTGGTGGTTTCTAGGGTGGGTACCGCGGGGCGGGGAGGGGGGGTATAGGGTGGTCGCGGGGGGCGGTTTTCGCACTTTGGTGGTTTGTTGAACTCAGACCACCACCCCGTTGCCCCAGTTGCGCGCGCGCGCCCCGCGGGACTGCGTTGAATTTTTTTGCGCGCGCGCGCATGCAGCGCGTTTAAACGTGATTGAACGCGGGGCTCGGGGGGTTGAACGCGCGCGTTTGAACGTGAACGCGCGTTCACGGCGTTCAACCGGTTGCGCAGGCTAAATGCACAACTGATGGAGAACCTTACGTGGGTCAAGTACTCTAAGATAATGCCTACAGATCTCAGGTCCCTCCAATGGCAAATTATGCATCGCTGTCTCCCCCGCCCCCGACTGGGTTGTCTCTAGAACAGATCTAGAACAGAAAGGACTGCTGTCTCCCATCTCTACCTACTGCGGCAGGGCCTCACAGCCAGCTAGGGCAACATTGGAGCACTGCCTTCTGGCATGCCTGATGGTTTCCCAAATATAAAGGTGGTGGGATGCAGCTTTCCATTCCCTAACAGGAGTCCATATCCCATGGGACCTGGGTCTTATACTGCTGGGAAAGAACAAACATTTGCTGGCACAATGGTTTCCGTTTGCAACTAACCTCTTCTCCTACATGAGACTGCAACTTGAAGTCGTGATGCTGGCCTGGAGAGCCAGATGCTCTTTTGAGAGAAAACACCACCTGTTTGGACTGTAGCAAGCGCAACAGGTGATATAAAAAGAAAATCTGATTAGGTCCCACATATAGAAAGCCTGGAAAGCAATGTAACAAGACTACTCTATCAAAGAAGTCATTCGTGAATCCTATTGCAAGAGATGGCGGGATCCTCATAGGGCTTTCTCTGAGCTGGGCGATGCCCTCAACATTCTATGGAAACCATGTAGGGCCACAAACTCGCTTGACACAGGAGACCCCTCGACTTCTTTGATGTCCCCTACCTTGAGACTACTTTTGTGCTGATTCCTGACCACACACCAGTCCTCGCCTCTCCAACAACCCCCACCCCAAACACCTAGTCTGGCAGGCATCCCGAAGCCCCCTTTCTCTTCATCATCGTAATGGAAACTCTGAGAGCTAACCTGAGAACAAACAAAAAAATCTCTCGGCTTCGTCTGGCAGGCATCCCGGAGGAAGCCTTACCCGTTTACTCAATGTTTGCCGACGATTTAACAATAGTAACAGAGACCACCCATAGCAATATGGCATAAATTCTGGCCCTGATGACGCGCTTCACCCAGGTATCGGACATGACTGTCAATTGGAGAAGCAAGACACAGGGCTCGTGGATCCATTATCATGGGGTCCGCCCCCCGGAAGAGGCCAAGGTAGACTGGAGGCCCCTGGAGGAACAAATTCGTGTGCTGGGAGTGACTCTTTCAACGCAGGGGCCGTCGAAAAAGAATGATGAATGGATAACTAGAACGACATTAGAAAAAATAAAAAAATAGAAAAACAAAAACACATCCATCTTTGGGAGGGCGCTGATCATTAACAATCAAGTATTGGCAACAATCTGGTACAAGTCAGTCCTCTGGCAAGGAAGGTGTTAAATCTCTTAAGAAACAATTGGCGGGCTTCCTCTGGAGGGGGGACTCAGAACAACAACACGTGATAAGCCGGGTGGCATGGGATACGTTGATCCAACCCAAATCGAAGGGTGGGATGGGACTGGTAGATCCCTCTCTGCAAGCAACAACTTTGGCAATCCAATGGATTAAAAGACTGTTCCGGGGCAAAGTCCCCCCTTGGAAGAATCTGGCCAAGGAATAGATCTGTAGGCTGGCCCCAAGAACTGCCCTGGGGGTAGACCCGCTGACCTGAATTGAGGACCGTCACTTGTCAATCCCCAGAACAAATTCACACTCACGAGAGGAAGGAGATAGAGGAGCAATCAGACAAAATCTAACAAAGGATAAATTCTCGGTCAACTTAATCAAGGAGTGGAGAAGGTTGCCGCTCCGAGACAAGCCCCCCCGAGAAAGGATGGAAGAAGTCATGTGACAACCCCTGTTTGGTAACAAAGCCATTACCGATTGGCAAGGCCGGGTTTTTAATAGTTGAGACCCCCAGTGGACCGCGCGGGTTAGAAATGGGGTCCTCCAAGTAGGGGATATAAGGGACCGGGCTGCTAAGGATTGGAAAACCACCCAACAATTGAGACCTCATCTGCGACACCCCCGCAATCTAACAATCAGGCTGGAACAATTGATGTTATCCATACCCTTAGCCTGGGTGGTGATCCTGAGAAAATGACCAAGCTTGCAAGATCAAGACTGGGTGGCAGTCAAGTTGGAGGACTCACCCCTACAAATAGGGTGCTTCATGGAGGCGAGAACTGAAGGTGCCATGATAAACGTGTTCGAAAGAAAGGAGGACAACACTCTGGTAAGGTACCACCCAGACTCGGTCCAATGGCATGAGAAAACCAACCTATATCGTATACGAGTACTGCAGACACACAAGGGAGGAAGAAAAAAATTGCAAGCCTATTGCCCGGAAGTCCCCCTATCCACTCTGGCCCTGGACCCGCTAGAATGGCAATGGGTGAAAAGTCGAACAGGGCAAAAGGTTGAACTCTCTGGCCTGACGGTAAAGAGCACATATAGGATGATTAGACGCAAAGTGGATGTGAGGACAGTGGTGCCGGAGAGGTGGAAGAGGCACTTAAACCTAGGAGATGATCAGATAAAAGGAATAAAGTGGTTTAAAGGAATAATGGAAAGACCGGCCAAAGTTGCCGCCCTGTAATGGCAGATTCTTCATAGATGCCTTCCCACCGACAAGTGGATAATTGACAAAACTAATCTAGAACAGAGAGGGGAAGACCTTCCATGGTGTAAAATCTGCCTAACGGGATTCCCGAGTCTCAAAGTTTGTGAAACAATACAAACATATTTTTCTCCAGTGC